TCTCTTTCTTTCTCTCTCTTTCTCTCTCTCTCTTTCTCTTTCTCTCTCTCTTTCTCTTTCTTTCTCTCTCTCTCTCTTAGAGCACCAAGGATCCCAAAGTCATCCTCCTTCCTCCTCCTTCCTCTTCCTCTTCTTCATTTCCACAAGCACCCCTCCAGGTAGCACTGATGATGTTACCTAGCTTGGCAATGAAATGTCCGCTGGGAAACAACCAAGCTCAGAGAGCAGCAAGGACGCCACAGTCTTCCCCCTCCCCTCCCCCTCCCCATAAACTCTGCTCCCTTCTAGCACTGATGATGTTCCCTAGTTGGGTCATGAAACGCCTGCAAGAACATTTCAAGCTGAGAGAGCTCCAAGGAGCCCGCAGTCCTTGCGAACGGTCAACCCCCAGACATTCCAGGGGCCAAGTTGATGCCTTCTTTCTCCTCCCCTCCTCTCTTCCCCCTCCCCAACGCCCACAGGCTGTGCACGGAGACTGGTGTCAACAGGTCATGTACATTCCCCAGCTCAATTTGGTTGCTTCCTGCACACCGGCTGAGAAGTCTGCCATGGCTCTGACTTCGCTCCCTCTGCACAACATCGGAAAAATCCAGTAAGAGGGGGGTCTCTTTTTCTTGGAAGTAGTGGTGGCGGGCTGGAAGTAGCCTCCTTGGCAGGGGTGGGATTAAAAAAAACAATCCCAGAAACCAGTTCGCTGCCCGGTTCCTGGGTGGGCGTGGCTGTCAACTCCTTTTGTGTCATGCAGCTCACCTTCAAGGAGTGAGGGGAGCCGAATGTCAACTCATAGAACGTTTTGATGATCTTTTCAGAGTTGCCAACAGAAAGGGAGGGGCGGGTGGGGAAAAAGGGTTTGAAAGAGCAGCGCGGCAGCTTGGAATCGAAAGTGTATTCCGTCAATAGTTTTTCAGAGATTGTAACTAGGTTGACTGAAGATTCTGCCGTGCCAAAATGTAACTGGAGAGAGAGAGAGCACGATGGATGACTCTGAGCTATGGAGGCGTCCCATTGGAGAATATGGATGACGATACACCCAGAGGGGTTGGGGGAAAACCAGGGTGAAGGGTGACCGTGAATGATGTGTCTCAGAGTCAGCTACACCCAGGCAGTGCCGGACATGTTAACGTCTAATAAATCCTGTTTAGTTTTGGAAACTTGGTTCGAGGCTCATGACTGAATTGGGGTAACTGCCGGAATCCTGACAGCAGCCATGGTGGGCAGGGCTTACCGGAACTTCTGGGAGGGCCAGTTTTCATCTTCCCCAGCGTCCAGAGGCTTCCCTTGGGCCTCCGGGAGGGCAAAATAGCTCCTCCAGGGTCTGGAGGCTCTCTGGAAGCCAGAAACAGGCCCATTCCCGGCCTTCTGGAGCCTCTGGCAGGCCTGTTTTTTTGCTCCAGAGAAAGGGGTGAGGGCAAGGAAGAGGGGATCAGGTACGATAAAAATCCAGACAGTTCCAGAGGTACTTTCCCCTCACCCCACAAGAAGCAAGTGGACTTCCTTGTTTTTCTTTTTCTTTGAAGACATCTCACTTCTCACCCAAGAAGCTTCTTCAGCTCTGACTAGGATGGTGGGGAAGGATTTATACTCCTTGAAGACATTTGCATCCTTTGAGAGGGTTGTTGAGGCCACTTGGATGATTATCTGTGTCCTCAGGGTCACCTGAGTGGTGCCAACGGGTGGGGAGCCTTCTTGGATCTGCTGAAAGGACGGTGTTGTAGACTGGAGAGGGATGGTGTCCTATCCGTCCCCTTCTTTTGAGATGGGGGGCTGCTCACTTTGGGCCTAGATGGCCTCTTGGATCCCCCTTCCAAAGATGCATGAAATCCACCCGCGTCTTTTCATGGAGACTGCAAATCAAAGGAACAAATGAATTGTTTATTGATTGGCCAAGTGTGATTAGACACACAATAAATTTGTCTTGGTACATATAGCCATAGCAAATAGACTTATATATACTGCTTTGTAATGCTTTCCAGCCCTCTCTGAGCAGTTTGCAGAGTCAGCCTCTTGCCCCCAACAATCTGGGTCCTCATCTGACCCACCTTGGAAGGAGGGAAGGCTGAGTCAACCTTCAGCCTGGTGGGATTTGAACTGCCAAATTGTAGGCATCTGGCTGCAGAAGTAACTTGCAATACTGCACCCTAACCACTGCGCCACAGAGGCTCCTAATGCTGATATGCTAATATGCTCTCAGTGTACATAAAAAGAAAAGATACATTCAAGAGTCAAGAATCATCAGGTCCAACACTTAATGAGAGTCATAGGGTACAATAAGCAGTCAAATCATACTAGGAAGCAGTCAATATAAATCGTAAGGATACAAGTGACAAAGTTACAGTCATACAGTCACAAGTGGGAGGAGAAGGGTGATAGGGAGTGAAGAGAAAGTTAATAGTAGTGCAGACTTGGTAAATAGTTGGACAGTGTTGAGGGAATAATTTGTTTAGCCGAGTGAAGGCATTTGGGAAAAAACTGTCCTTGTGTCTAGTTGTTCTGGTGTGCAGGGCTCTATAGCGTCGTTTTGAGGGTAGGAGTTGAAACAGTTTATATATCCGGGATGTGAGGGGTCTGTAGATATTTTCCCAGCCCTCTTTTGGACGCCTGCAGTATACAGGTCCTCCATGGGGTAGTAATTTTACATCTACAAAACTTTCTAGGGTGGCCTATGGCTGGATGGGATCTCAAATAAGTTGTCCTCAAGTAACCAGGCCTTACGCCATGTAGAACTTTACAGGAAGGGGTGAGCCCCTCGAAGCTTGCCCAGAAATACTCTGGCAAGCAGTGCAGCTCACAAAGTAGAACTGTGAGAAGGATCTTGGAGTCTTACTGGACAACCATTTAAATATGAGCCAGCCATGTGCAGCAGCTGCCCCAAAAGCCAAAACACAGTTCTAGGCGGCATCAACAGAGGGATAGAATCAAGATCACGTGAAGGGTTGATACCACTTTATCAGGCCTTGGTGAGGCCAGACTTGGAATCCTGCATCCCGTTTTGGTCTCCACGATGTAAAAAAGATGTTCAGACTCTCGTAAAGAGTGCAGAGAAGAGCAACCAAGAGGATTAGGGGACTGGAAAGTGAAGCATATGAAGAACGGTTGCAGGAATTGGAGATGTCTAGTTTAATGAAAAGAAGGACTAAGCGATCCAACATTTGAGGGGCTGCAACAGAGAAGAGGAGGTCCACCTATATCTCCAAAACACCTGAAGGCAGGACAAGGAGCAACGGATGGAAATTCAGCAAGGGGAAAAGCAACCTGGAATTAAGGAGAAATTTCATGACACGGAGGACAATTAACCCGTGGAACCGCTTGCCACCAGGAGCTGTGGGGTGCTCCAAAAACTGGAAGTTTTTAACAAACAGATTGGACAGCCATTTTTTTTCCTGAGATGCTATAGGGTTTCCTGTCTAAGCAGCTGGTTTGGACTACAAGACCTCCAAGGCGCCTTCCAAATTTCTTGTTCTATATTCTTCCACCCTCGACGGAGAATGTCACTCAGGGTAATTGAAATCTTCCATCCTGCAATTTCATGCCTCTTGGACAGATCTCAGATTTGGTTTCGGAAGGCATCCTCCTGGGCAATAATCAACATCAGAAGGAGCCGGCCTTTGGCCTCCTAAGATTGTATCTCCCCAGATCCTTCCAGCATGGCCAACTTCGTACATTTAGATTAAAAGTTTGTTTATTGCCAATTGCAAGAATCCCACGTTGCAGTTTGGGGGATTGGGCAGCAGGTGGCAGTGTTGCTTAGTGTATATTTAGAACATGGAATCATAGCATAATATTGTATTTTGAGGGTTACTTGTATTCTTCCTTCCTTCCTTCCTTCCTTCCTTCCTTCCTTCCTCCCTTCCTCCCTCCCTCCCTCCCTCCCTCGTCCTAATTACTCTTTCTACTTCTTTTCTCCTTTACTTTTTTCATTTCTACCTTGCCTCTTCCTTCCTTCATCTCACTCTCCTCCCTCCCTCTTACTCCCTCCCTCCAATCTCTCCTTTCTTTCTCTCTCTCCCCTTCCCTCCCCCTCTTTCTTTCTTTCTTTCTTTCTTTCTTTCTTTCTTTCTTTCTTTCTTTCTTTCTTTCTTTCTTTCTTTCTTTCTTTCTCTCTTTCTCTTTCCTTTCTTCCTCTCCTTCCTTTCCTAATCACTGTTTCTCCTTCCTTTTTTCTTTGCCTCCTTGTCTCATCTCTCTCCCTCTTCCTCCCTTTCTCCTTCTCATCTCTCCCTTCTCCCTCCCTCCTTCCCTCCTTCCTTCTCCCCCTCCCTCTCTTCCTTCATCTCTCCCATCTCCTTCCTTCCTTCCTTCCTTCCTTCCTTCCTTCCTTCCTTCCTTCCTTCCTTCCTTCCTTCCTCCCATCCCCTCCTCTTTTCTTCCCATCTGTCCTTCCTTCTCTCCCTACTTTTCTTTCCCTCTTAATTCTCCCTTCTTCCGTCCCTCCCTCCCTCCTTCCTTCCTTCCTTCCTTCCTTCCTTCCTTCCTTTTAATTTAATTTTTAATTTAATTTTTAATTTAATTTTTAATTTAATTTAACTATTTAATTTAATTTTTAATTTAATTTCAATTCAATTCAGTTCAATTCAATTTAAATTCAATTCAATTCAATTCATTCAATTCAATTCAGTTCATTTATTTTAATATTTAAATTAAATTAAATTAAATTAAATTAAATTAAATTAAATTCCAATTCAATTCAATTCAATTCAATTCAATCAAGACTTCTTCCCATTTGCCCAGGTCGGCGTTGATTGTCCTGCGGAAGGGGATTCTGTGCTTTGACTACTCTCCCGAAATGAACATTGTGGGTAGGTGCTCCTCCACCTCTCCTTGGAAAGAAACTTGGCTCACCTGATGCCTCCCAACGGGGTGGGGGCATCGTTTCGGGGGCATTAAGGTGTTCCCCTAATCAAACCAATGATGATTAAAAGGCTGGAGGCTAAAACCTAAGAAGGACGGTTGGAGGAAGTGGGTCTGTCCAGTCCAGAGAAAAGAAGGACCAGGGGAGACAGGATAGCAGCCTTCCAAGATCTCAGGGGTTGCCCCAAAGAAGAGGCAGTCAAGCTCTTCTCCAAAGCACCTGAAGGCACAGGTGCTTTGGAGAATAGAAAGAACAGATGGAAACTCATCCAGGAGAGAAGCAACCTGGAACTGAGGAGAAATTTCGTGACAGTGAGGACAATTAACCAGTGGAACTGCCTGCCACCAGAAGTTGTGGGTTGCTCCATCACTGGAGGTCTTCAAGAAGAGTCTGGATAGCGATTTGTCCAGAATGGTATTAAGGTAAGGCTATCCAAACTTGGGAACTTTAAGACTTGGGGACTTCAACTCGCTGGGGAATTCTGGGAGTTGAAGTCCACAAGTCTTAAAGTTTCCAAGTTTGGACACCGTTGGTATAGGATCTCCTGCTTGGCCAGGGGGTTGGACTAGAAGACCTCAAGGGTCACTTCCAACTCTTGCTATTCTATAATTCTGTAAAGGTCTCCTGCTTGGGCAGGGGGTTGGTCTAGAAGACCTCTAAGGTACCTTCCAACTTTTGTTATTCTATAATTCTGTGAAGGTCTGCTTGGGCAGGGGGTTGGA